ATGTATATATATATATATATCAGCTTCATATACTTACTGGGAGTCCTCACCAGAAGTAACAAAGGGTAGCTCTAGGAATTGCCAGAAATTCTATGGTTTTACCGACTGCTGTCGCCTGATGTTAAAACGGCATCACTGTACTAAGTCACTACAATGGGGGCATGTCAACTGTCTATAACTTATTATTTGGCAGAGGAGAATCAGGATCCGGAATGCTAGTACTTTCCTCCTGCTTGCTGTAATGGGCTTTTTAAAACACGCCTCTTTGCTAGAAAGTTCAGCAAGCGAGGAGTTAAATGGATTTGGCTGTTGGGCAGTTGGAATTTTTTTTTTTATACTCTTTCTTTAGCTGGAGGACCTTGTGCCCGCAGGCTACAGTCACATTATCAGCTGGAAATTGGATAACGACAGCACAATGACAAATCCAGGTTGCTTGCAATAAGGTGCTAATCCCTTTGCTTTAATATCGGAGCAGCATGTAATGATGTTTGGACATCACTCCAGTTTACTGACGACCCCACCGGGGCCCGCGACAGAACCGTACAAACCACCTAACGCGGCGTCAGGTGACCACCGTCGTCAAAGCAACGGACGCGGCAATCTAATCTTCCTGCCGTCCCTTCCAGCCTCCCAATAAGGCCCGGGTTATAGAAGTGGCCCATCGACGCTTGGTAACTGGAATCAATTAACGTTAATTCGCACGATGCTATGATGTATTGTGATCACTTTCATTTCGGAGGAGGGGGAAGGAAGCGGCTATAATTCACCTAAAATGAGGTTGTCTATGGTGCCGCGGTATTAATTGGGTGTCCATATTAAATGGGAAAGGAGCAGAGCCGCGAAGGACGAGTGGATGAGTGACTCTCTTGGCTGCTATTGACCTATCAGGAGAAGACAGTGCCCTTTTCCTTTGCTTTTATCTATTACAGTTTTCCCTATTGCGTGTCAAGTTGATGTATTATAAAAAATTCATTTGGCGACCTTTCACCCCCTCTGCAGATTAAACAATTTCACCGGGATGGCATCATTAAGAGGGCCCTGCATTTAATGATGATTTCTCTAAAAGGCCACGGAGATTCGATTTTAAGCTAACAGATTTATTGCACTATTATAACATATCGTAAAAAACTCCACCACCTAAGGTCTGGTTTTAGGATAGGAGCTGTTTAAGAGTTTATGGGAAGCTTAAAGTGGTATTACCTTGGGATATGCGGCAGGAGCCCGGCAGCCGGCATCTGTCCCGGGGCGCGGGGCTGTTTACGTTGAACAAGGCCCGTTCCTCAAGGACTCGACGTGAGAGGGAGAAGTGCCTTGCTTCAGTTCCTGGCCAGTCGTTGTGAGGGGTTTTGGCAAGGAAAGGGTCAAATAGTCATGGCTATAATGAATTGGCAGGATGTGGGATGGGACGGTATAACCCGATTGCATCAGATCTCAGAAGCTAAGCAGGGTGGGTACTCAGACGGGGGGCTACCAAGGAAGACTCTGTAGAGGAAGGCAACTGGCAAACCACTTCTGCTTCTCATTTACCAGAGGATGTAGCAATGGCCACAGGAATAAATAGCTTCAAAGTGGGATTCAATAGATTAGGGGATAAAAATTCATCAGATATCAAACTTCATACAAGAATTTCATAACGAGAGGGGGGGAAGGAAGGAAGGAAGGAAGGAAGGAAGGAAGGAAGGAAGGAAGGAAGGAAGGAAGGAAGGAAGGAAGGAAGGAATTTCTCTCCTTTTCCCAAAATACTAGAGCAGGGGTGTCGAACTCATTTGTTATGAGGGCCGGATCTGACATAAATGAGACCTTGTTGGGCCGGGCCATGTGTGTCATGAAATGTAGTGCCTTTAAAAGGGGATTAGATAGATTCATGGAGGATAAGTCTATCAATGGCTACTAGCCATGGTGGCTGAGGGTAACCTCCACATTCAGAGGCACTAATTCTCTGGATCCCAGAGCCAAGAGGCAACATCAGGGGAAGACCTCTCTGCCCTGTTGCTGGCCCTCCAGGGGAACTGGTTGGCCACTGTGTGAGACAGGATGCTGGATTAGATTTACCACTGGTCTGATCCAGCAGGACTTTTCAAAGGTTCTCATGAAGGCCTCGGCCTCTCTG